TTGGTGAGTAGTAAGAGTTCTTTATGTATTCTAAGAATAATTTTTTTAAATCAGATAAGTGGATTGCAAATATTTTCTCCCCCTCCATAGCTTGTCTTTTCATCCTTTTAACAAAGTCATTCACAAAGCAAGGATTTTTACTTTTGATGCAATCCAATTTATGGAGTTTTCTTTTATGGATCATGTTTTTGGTGTCATGTTTAAGAATTTTTTACCAAGTCTTAGCTTTTAAAATATGTTCTATGTTTTCTTCTAAAAGAGTTTCATAGTTTTATATTTTACAGTTAAATTTATGATCTATTTTGAGATGATTTTTGTATGAAGTGTGGAGTTTAGGTTGAGGTGTTTTTTTTTTTACTATATACACCAAACTTTCTAATACCATTGGTTAAAAAGACTATCTTTTCTCCACCCAAATTTTTGCCCTTTTGTAAAAAAGCCATTGGCCATACATGCATGCATTCTCTATTTCTGGTTCCTCAATTCTGTTTCATTGATCTATGTGTCTCATCACCAATACCACAGCCTTAAAATTGAATAGAGTGGTTCCTCCCACATTATTCTTTTCCAAAATTACTTTAACTATTGTATTTCCTTGCCTTTTGGAAAATTTATATTCACAATAAATATTTCACAATATACACATATATCAAATTATCAGATTGTACACTTTAAATACATATATTTTATTTGTGAATTATTCCCCAATGAAGCTGAGGGAAGGGGAAGCTGAGGAAAGAAAATACCAAAAGTTTGATAGAAAAAGAAGAAAAGACATGAACAGACAATTATTTAAAAACATATAAATGTTCAGGCACTAGAAGTTTACTGGTAGAAAAACCAAAAGGAAGAGCTCTATTCATAAACATTCTGTCCAATTCCAGGATTCTTGTGTATCAATTTTTCCTCCCTGAAAACACTCTTTCCCCAATCAATTGTTACAGGAAAACAAACTAAAATCACTATAGTATTAATAAAAGGCTAATATGCAAATTGTCCCCTCAACCGGGAGTTCGACTGGGAGTTTGACCAGGGGTAGGGCCGGCCGGCCAACTGCCCATGGCTCCTCCCCCTGGCCAGTCCAGTCCCCGATCACCCCTCATCCCAATGGGGGATGGAGCTGGCCAGCCAACCTCCCACGGCCCCTCTCCCCGACTGGCCCAGCCCAATCATCCCGATTGGGGCAGACCGGCCAGACCCCACCCGTGCACAAATTTGTGCACCAGGCCTCTAGTCAGGTGCACAAATACTAATAAATACTAAACTCCTATTTGATCAAAAGTAAAAATATAAAAATGGCCCTTAAACATATTAAAACATGTTCAAATTCATTCAGATTTGAAAAATACAAATTAACACTGAGATGCCATTTGTCACCGATCAGTTTGGTGAAAATTACAATGTGTGGCATAGCAACATATTTTGTTGCTTAGACTGTGCAGAAACAGACACTAATGCATTGCTAGTGAGAATGCAAACTGGCAAAACCCTTCTGAAAGGGGGTTGGCAATATCAAGCAAAGTTACAAATACAGTTAGCACTACCTTCCCATTTCTAGGATTATTTGTTGATGCATGTGTATAATTTCAAAACAATGTAAACAACTAAAAGCACATACACAAGAGAATGATTGAAAAAATTAAGGTATATCCACAAAATGGAGTACTATGCAGCTAATAAAGAAGAATGAAAAAGATCTCTATAAACTTATATGGAGTGATTTATAAGATGTATATGTAAGTTTAAAAAGGAAAGTGTAAAATGTCACGCTATATTTACATAAGAAGGGATAAAAGAAAATATACATGCATCTGCTAATTTGCAGAAAGAAATTTTAAAAAATAAACTAAATACTATTGAGATTGGTGAGTAGAATCTGGATGGAAAGAATGAGGACATGGGGACAGGTTAAAGACTCAAGGAGGTATACTTGGAGTACATTTTTTTCTATAGTACTGACTTTTAGTACTATAACATTTGACAAACCAACAGGAAATACAAGCAGTAATATATGAGCCCTACTAAAATAAAAATGAATAATATAACCACACTGAATAGTTCTAGATGGAAAAATACTAACCTAAATAATTTTGAAGAAAATTATTTTGACCTCATACTGGAAGGCTAAAGATAAAAATTACTGAACACAAACATTGTTCTCTAGTTCATATATTTGCTTTTTACAGAGGCAGGGTTAGTTATTCTAAAAATAATTTACATATATTCTATTGAGCAAATAAGTATATATATTGTGAACAACAGAGAAAAAAGGAAAAAGGATCAGAGGTTTGAAATGGGCTGTACGGCAGAGTAGGAAATGGTGCAAAGCCATTGGACAGCAGAGGTCTATGACTTACCCAAAGATCCACAAAACCCTGCTCTGGAACCTTTAGCTTCAATGACTCAAAAGAGTAACATGACAGGAGAAAGCTGTTCCAGGAGAACAGGGACTGAGGGAAGGTAGTTATGTAGTTTTTTCTTTTGTAAGGGCTTGATTCTGGGTCACAGTACTGGTTAGACCTCTGAAATTTTCCTCTCCTTGGTATACCCCCTTTATAAAGATAGCAGGAGCACAGCTAAGGAACACCAAACCTTGTTCTTTGCAGGAGGTTGCAAAGTAAGGACACTCCTAAAGGAAGAGCGACAACAGGAATAGGAAGAGAAACAGTCAAACGGCAGTTGTCATCATATAATACTCAGGGATGGGAGCAACTGTGCTTCTAGTATGCATGCCTTCCAATTTCTGGCAGCGTTAGTTATTCTACTGGGGAGAAATATAACACTGTCCAAACTGGCATAGCTTTGAGGTCTGGGCAAACGACTGTGTCTCAGACAAAGATTTGGGTTCCAGGGAATGCAAATGAGAGACAGAGGTATGGGATCACTAGCTATTTCACTTGGGCCATGACAATGATAATCCAAATTATTTACTTTGCCTCCCTCCTTGCCCTTTCTTCTATGAAATCAAATGGTCAGGGATAAGATTTGAACTGATTTTTCTTTCAGAACTTCCCAGGTAGGATGCTTGAGAATGGGCCATTCCCATATTAAACTACATGTCATCTTATTGCTAATAGTAACTATACTTCAAGGGATGCATCTTTATTAGTAGATACTCATCCCTAGGAATCTAATGATGTTCAGACAATTGGAAGAAAAAGCAGATGTGGCCTATGACCTATCTGCTCATACAATAAAAATGGTATATTATTAATTTGAAGCAAAATAAAGGATTATTTGTCAAGAACCTCCCTATTAATACACTTCAAACTAGGAAACTGGTCTTGGACATGCCTTTTATTCAGGATGACTGGGTATTCAGAGGGTGATCTGGATTCTCTTGCAACTCTCGGCACTTGTTCAGGGCTAAAGGGAATCTTGACTTTACATGGCATTCTTTCGCATCTAGCCTATACTTCAAAGAATTTTGAGCATATGATTTATAGACTATCTTTAAAATCAGGTCTTGTGAAGATAAAAAGGATGAGCTCTTAACCACTTCACAATTTCAGAGCAGAATAGAACCCTCCTCAGATACTATACCCAAATGTGGACATTTCCCAAATATGTTAAAAAGTCATTGTTGCTGACAATAAGCGATTCAAAAGAATAGTGTTACCAAGACAATAGGATATAACGGATACCCATGCCCTGGTCAACAGGTACATGAAGGAGCTAAATGTGAAAGCAGTATTTATTAGAGTAGACATATGGACAGAGAAAAACCTAATGAACACCTCCCTGACTGTTCAGGGAGTACTTCAAATTTTTCATTTCTGGAGAGACTAGCATATTTTGAAAAGACTGAAGCATGATGATGATTATTGGCCAAAGTCTTGGGAAGTACCAAGGCCATTCATTTCTCAGAGATATCTGCACTACTTAGAATGCAACAAGTTTTGAATCTTTCTCTCATGAAGATATGCCACATTACGCAACTCTCATGGCTCACGAGCGTAGCCACAACTTGAGAATGAAGCATGATCATGTGGCCTGCAAATGTCATGGCCAGACATTTTATACATAAACTTATTACTGTAAATATGGGCCTCAGCAACTGCATTTTTTAGGTTTATGTAACAGCTTCCACTACTTCCACCAGCTGTTACATAAGCACAGAAGGGACTGCCTATTTCATAAATCTTAGTTCCAAAGTTCCTTTGGAAACTCATATAGTGGGAATAAAAGAGTGGAAAAAGAAGAAGAATGTGATTATGGCAGTGTCCTTGATTATCAAAAGAATCACTGTTGTCTGCCCTCATGCTGGCTGAAGGGTTCAGTTTGTACATTTGGATCCTGCTGCAAGAACTACTGACTTCTAAAGGCAACTACACCTTGCCGTTCAGAGCTCCAAGAATACTGTAATGGTACCTCCATTACAGACAAATTCCTACAAGCAAGGTGCAGACATAGTGCAGATAAATACCTACAAGCAAGATGGCGCTCCTGGCAAATAACAAGGTTATTGTTATCAGGGCTGGTGGCAAAGCCTAGAGAATCAGTGTGTTAAAAATCTCTGGAAAGGGCACCGAGGTTGCTCATGAAAGTTAGTATTATCACATGAATACCAAGAGAGACAGGACAGGTCTAGAAACTGTGGCAGTAAATCTAAAGGGATTTTTAAGGTCCTCCGCAAGTGTGATATAAAATGTGGTAGGCTGCTATGTGAAAACATCTAAAAGTTCCCATACATTGAAAAACATCAAACATTCAGTTCCTCATGCAAGTCACATGGTGTTGGAGTGCAAAGAGGTGTTTTTTTTAAGCCACGGACAGGGCTAATGAGAAGTTGTTGAAGGATGGTAGCCTAGGTGGTCCACAGTGTTGGAGACCAGGTGTAAGCTAACAAGGTCCTTGCACCTGAAGAGGCTAGCAAGGCTGGGACCCTTACCCACAGTTTTCCCAGACTTGTTTGGATGGCGGTTATCAGAATGAGAGCAACCTCTGTAGAATGAGAACAGCCTTTCATGGCTTACCAAGAAGTCTGTAACTATTTACTGAGATTTGCTGTACCGAGAATTTGTCCTTCTGCTCTATCCCTCCCTTAGAGATTAAGAGGAACAAAGAATACATTCCTCTTGACAGACCTCCTATTCAGTGTCTTGTGTATAAATAGCATTGTGTGGTTAATAAACTTGCTGCAGTTCCTCGATTGAGCTGCAGTCTTCCTGATCCCACTTTCCTGTCTTTCTTTCTTTTCTCAATTCCCACCTCCCTACCTCAGCCCGGCTCAACCTGTCAGGCTGGCCCTGACACCACAGAAGATCTGTATAAATCAAACCTGCTAAGATACCACTATATTTCACTATGACTGCAACCTGACCTCGTGTCATGGGAGGGGTATTTGCAATAATTTTAAAAACCGCCACTGTGTCTATGTCTAAGTGCCTTATGAATTCAAGGGTTATGGGGTACAGTTTAAATAGTGGCCCAGGTTCATGTGTCCCCTCTGACTCTCAGTAGGACAAAATACTGATCAGCCTAACCTAGGTCTTTCTTAGCCTTTTATTACTTCTCATTTCCACTATTCTTTTGTTTGCCTACATCCATAGAAGATTTAAGACCAGTGTCAATGCAAAAGATTCATCTTGCAGAAGCAAAATGAACAAATCTGACAAATATTTGGTAATTGCCATCTTTCTGATAATTAATCCACATATGAAGTAATATTAAAAGGATGTTTTAAGGAATTGACTCCTTAGTTCTGGTGTTCCTCAAGGTCTATGGAGATGGGAATACTTTCTTGCTTCCATCTGTCTTTCTATATCCCAAATGCTTGTTAGTTTTCAAATTAAAAAAAGGTAAAGTAGCTCCCTGGATGAGGCAGTCTTTCTTGTTCTGTGCTACCCAGAAATCAGCTCTCCAGAGCTTTGGGGCAATGAGAAGACTCAAGATGTAATGTTGACAGAACAAGGACATGTTATCCTCCATAGTAAGGCTGAAACTCATGGCCTAAAATCTAAAGAGCTATTATTGAGCTCCCTAAAATTTCTATGGAGAGCTCCTTTGGAAAACTCTCTGGAACTTCCTTTTCAGAGTACCCTATCAAATCCCCCATTGTAACCTCCCATGTCGATTTTCTTTAATCTTAAGGATTTTGCATTGGACAGACCAAGGAATTTATCAGGTGAGAATCATATGATTATGAGTTCCAAATATTTTATCATTCCAGTTTTGTGCACCTGGCTTTTCCCTTTGTTTTGGCATCATAGAACAAGCCTCAGATTGGACTTGTTCATAACCTAACTAGAAAGATCAAACATTATTTGTTATGTGATTCAAGAAGAAACAGATTAGATATTCCAACCCATAAATGAGGCTCTAGTCTAGGAATCTTTTTGCCCCCCAAAGGTTCAAATTCTACTTACTAGTCATTCATTCATTTATTCATTTATTCTATAAACATATTTAGCTCTGTTAAGTTGAACCATGTAAAATTGATATTAGACCATTTTCACCTACAAAAATGGCAAGTTCAAATGGTTAAACCTAATTCAATTTTCAGCACTATTAAACCTTCTTAGGACTTCTGCTTGTAAAGGACATTTTAGAGTTTTTGATTCCTAGAGTTTCCTCTAGTCATGATTTCTCTTAAATCTTATTATTCCCTGTAACTTCAAAAGACTGGCCCTAATTTTTTAGAGTAGGATGGTCCCAAGACTTAGAATGGCACTGAACATATGAGACTAGACTATGGTGCATCTGAGTATCTCACTGTCACTTTTTTGATAGTTGTCCTTGCTTATTCTGAGTTTCCAAACCTCTTCAAAGAACAGAAACTTTCTTTGTCCAACCTCAGAGGCAGACATAGCAATGACAGCTGAGAAAACTGTTGCATGCCACCCTACTTCACTTGAAACCATGGAATAGAGAACCTGGAAGTGGCATGTATAAATAATAAACTATAATTAATTTTTCTAAGAAAAGACTTAGACAAGTCTAATATTCACCAAGGTAATAAGTCCTTCTCTTAGATGAAAAGTGGCTTCATCTCCTTGAACAAAGACTTTAAGAATCACTAGTGAATCTGAAAATAATAAAAAGATCCTGCCCAATTCACCTAGAATGGCTACTAAACCGTAGTACTATATTCCCTTTAATTTCCAAAAGACTAAAGATGTTCCCCAACACTTTTCCCAATCCTTTAGTATGGAATAACTGCAGTTCCTGTATCCCAGTACTAGTTTCAAAGAGTAGTAGAGGTGCTGGTAGCAAAAGCAAGGGTAGAGTCCAATGGATCTAGGCCCCTGCTATAGAATCTCTTCTGTGAGCATAATAATGGTGTCTGGGTGTCTGCATCACGCCGAGTTTCTTGCTTTAGTTGAAAGAACTTGTACTGTGTCCATCCATATACTCCACAGTTGAGCAGACCCTGGGATGATGCTGTTAGAGCCTGGAGGAGATGAAGGGGTGATGGAGCCCATCCTTCAGGTTTTCAGAGATCCAGGGACTAGTTCCCAGTCCCCTTATTTATAAAGAATTGTTATATTTCTTCTAACCCATACCTCAAGATCTGGCATCAGTTTTTAATATTTTCTACCTCTCCTGAACTCACTCTTTACACTGTACCTTGTCATGAATGATTAAAAGAGAGTTGGTCATATTTTTTAGTGTTTACATAAGGACAATGAAGTGATTTCAGTGCCCCTCCTTAATGCCCCATTTCCCAGGTCAGGATTGAGAAAACTTCCCTATCAGCTTAGTCAGCTCCAAAAGTCTTCTTAAATTTGATAAAGGAAGAAGAAAGAGAATTGTCCCATTTCTTTATTACTGTCTCCCTGTTCACCTAGAATAGCTCATTTATCCCATTCAATTCACTCTGAATGGGAGAGAATCATGTCATTATTAGTGCTTCATAAGAACATTTGCTTTTTTGTTACTCATCCCTTAAACATACATCAATAAGGTGAAGTTGACCACACATAAATATGCTCTGAAATGCATGGGAGCACTTTCACAAAGTATCTACCACATCTGTGAGGAAAATTTCACATTCTTCGTAACTAAATATAATTTCTCTTTTGCAATGTAGAAATACCCTGAGGGGAAAAATTTTTGCTTAGAGATGTATGGCAGTATAAGAGAACAGGAAAAGAGGGCATGAGAATATCGATGCTAGATGTTGAAGATGTTACCTGAAGTACATAGAGGGCCATGTGAAGCTTGGTGTCCTGTGGCTCAATCAGCTTTATGATCATCAAAATGACAGCTATGAAAACACAAAGTATAAATCTTATCAGCACTGGCTACCTGAGCATAAAATTCTTCAGTATACATGCTTAAGCATTTTTAGAAAATGGAAGCTACCGACAGAATGAAAACCAGCAGTAAGATTAAGCAATTATGTAAACCACTGGGCCTTGGGTCTCCAATGTTTATTCCTCAGTGATTAAACTTTACAGATTATTAGTGCAGCAATGGTGGTAAGACATACTACAGGAAGACAGTCACACTTTTTAACATTTTCGAGTTTATCAAGCTCTTTCATAAACATTATCCAATCTGATCCTTGCTACAACTTTATGTAGCAGGATGGACAGGTATTAGTATCTCTGAGTTCTGTCAGGACATTTCCTCTCATATCAGGTTGCATCACATGTCTAATTATCTTAACTTGCAAAACATAAGAAGAATTTAAGGAGGTTGGGAAAAACTGGGAAATATGAGTGGGAACAACTTAAATTTTACAAGCTGGACAGGAATTTGCAGTAATCCTTCTTGGTGAGACCTCTTTGCTTGATCAGAACCCCATAATGCCCTCTTCATTGCCCAGCTCTTTCCAGTAAGATACCCACCTGGGCCCCAGCAGCACAAGAAGGCCACTGGGTAGAAGCGTACTCGCTGCTCTACGATGTGAATCGCTGCCCACTGTTCACTTCCCAAAAAGCCAGTTGATTTCACAAACTTCTTATACAGAGTCTGGGCTTGGATGAGTAAGACCTAGACAGGGGTACAGCAGTGAATAGTTTGCCCAAGACTTAGTAACTTTCCAGGTCTATCCTCCTATAATTTTAGAAGGAACGTTCTCTTAGGATCTAATAGCAGAAAAAGCCCATTCCTCTGTCTTTACTATCTGAAACCAGGCTTTTTCTGATAGAAAATTATCTTCAGAATGAACTTTTGCTTGGCTAGGGAAATAGACAGATATTAGCCAAACTTGTGGTTACCGTGTTCAAAACACGAACCTTAACAATAATGCTCAGGATATTTTCTCACTGAGACTGATCATAATATGCATGAGAAATAAAATTACTAGTAAGATCTATGCCCTAGCCAGTTTGGCTCAGTGGATAGAGCATTGGCCTAGAGATCAAAGGTTCCTAGGCTCGGTTCTGGTCTAGGGCACATACCTTGGTTGCTGGCTCCTTCCTGGCTCAGGCCTGGTCAGGGTGTGTGCAGGAGGCAACCAATCAATTCTCTCACATCCAATATTTCTCTCTGTCTTTCCCTTTCCCTAAAAATCAATGGAAAAATATCCTCAGGTGAGGATTAAAAAAAAAAAAAATCTAACCAAACCCTCTTTAAAAACCCTTTATTAGAAGTTAAAGTACTCTATACTTAATATCCTTAAAATAAATATTTTAGCACTGTGACTGAGCTTAAATTCTCAATTGTAAGCAAAAAAAAAAGGGGCAGGGGTCTTTTCTTGCCCTTTAGCTAATTGAAAGAACTATAAATCAGTTCAGAAGTCCAACATGATTTTTGTGTGGAGTGAATTATGTAATAATCTTGGTAACAACTTTGACCAAATTTGAAACTTTTCCCTAATAATCCAGATCCATACTCTAAATTAACAACCAATTAACTAAAGGTTTGGCCATTTAAGTTTCTTTTTTCCCCACAGAAATAGGAATCAAAAGGAGGCTTGAACTTATTTGAGAATATTTATGGCTAGTAGAAGCAGTTAATCATCTGTTGTTTAAAAAAGAATCAGAATGCGCCCAGCTGGTTGAACATTGACCTATGAACCCGGAGGTCATGGTTCGATTCCTGGTTAGGGCACATACCTGGGTTGTGGGTTCGATCCCCAGTGTGGGGCATGCAAGAAGCAGCCAATTAATGATTCTCTTTCATGTTTCTATCTCTCTTTCCCTCTCACATTCCTCTCTGAAATCAATACAAATATATTTTTAAAAAAGGAATCAGAATGATAATTCTGAATGCCCACTGAAGCCTGGGTTATTCTGAAGAAGGAAACAGGAATCCCCACGGTGCCAGGCTACCTGTCTCTCTTGTCAATCAGTTCTAAATATAAACCATTAAAGCCATTTTAATGTAAATTAGTCATTGTGCAATCTTTACACACTTGCTGATTTGAGCTAAGTTATCTCCATAACTTATATTTGAATTATCAAAGGAAATTCTCCACAATTATATTTGGTTCATGTGTACTACCTGTACTAGGAAACAAAACATATTTGGGGGATAAATTTGGTCTGCAGGTAGATAGTCTGTAATCCCTGAACTAACATATAAAGAGAGGAGAAAATGATACTGAAAAATAGATATGGCAAATCAGAAGGCATATTGCTTGCTTACTGATTTTGTACTAGGCAGTTATATATGAACTAGAGGCCCGATGCATGAAATTCGTGCAAGAGTAGGCCTTCCTTCCCCCGGCTGCTGGCACCAGCTTCCCTCTGACACCCAGGACCTGGGCTTTCCTCCAGCCGTCGGCAGGCACCAGGAACCCTGGCTTCCCTCACAGCCTCGGCTTCATCTGGAAGGACCTTCGGTCTAATTAGCATATTATGCTCTTATTATTATAATGTATTGTCCCATAGCTGATTATTTTAATTGTACATAATTCTGATGATGTCGGGTGAGTATTTAATAACTGCCTGAGTCACTTAGCACCTTAACCCAGTTAGACATATCATAATCACAAATTTATAGCCAATAAAGAATTGAGAAAAGAAAACTCTTTCATTATTTTGAAAATTAAACCAAAGCTCACCCCACACATTCCAAAGTATCTATATATACTAGTATAAAACTCTAATATGCAAATAGACTGAACAGCAGAACAACCAAACAACTGAACAACCAGTCACTATGACATGCACTGACTACCAAGGGGCATGCGCGGAACATAGCAGGCATCAGCAGCAGACGGCAGAGTGTGAAACATGGTGGGCATTGGCCATTGTGGGATGGTGGAGCAGGTGAGAGGGGGCACCAGGCCAAGGCAGGGCGCCAGTCACTGTCATTGGGGTGAGCCTCTGGTGGTTGCTAAAAATTCTTAGCTTCCATGCTCTGCGATGCCACCCAGCACTAGCACCCACAGTTGGCGCCGGAGCTGCCACTTCCACCCACTGCTAGTGCCTGACACCGGCCCCTATCTCTCGGCACCGTAAGGGGGTGCGAGCGGCAGCTGCTGGCTCCAATTGCCCCTCAGGGCTTCTCCACCTCCCCCTGCTCCTAAGGAGCAATCAGAGCTGGCAGCTGCCTCTCACACCTGCTGCCAGCAACGGCCCCGCTCGCACCCGCTGCCAGCGCCTGGCACCAGTCCTGATCACCCCTGAGGGCTTCTCCACCTCCCCCTGCTCCTGAGGGGCAATCGGGCAGCAACCACTGCTCACATCCACTGATGGCACCGGCCTCGCTTGTACCTGCTCCTGGTTCCAGCCCCAATCGCTCTGCGCTGTCAGCGTGTGGGAACAGCAGCAGCGGGAACGGGGCTGCTGGCAGACAGGGGACTGGAGGTTGCGGCAGGAGGGGCTGGGTAGGGGCGCAGAGGATGGGCTGAACCTGCCCCTGTGCCCATGGCAGCCTCATGGCCTACAGTTCCTTTAAAGTTGCACAAATTCATGCACTGGGCCCCTAGTCCTATATAATAAAAGGCTAATATGCAAATTGACCAAACGGTGGAATAACCAGTCGCCATGATGCACACTGACCACAAGGGGAGCACTGCTCATCCAGAAGCTGGGCTCATGGCTGGTGAGCGCAGCAGTGGTGGCGGGAGCCTCTCCCACCTCCATGGCAGCACTAAGGATGTCCAACTGATGGCTTAGGCAGGAGTGGGCCTAAGCCATCAGTTGGGCTCCTGGACTGCAAGAGGACGCAGGCCAGGCTGAAGGACCCCCCTCCCAACCCTGACCCAAGTGCACAAATTTTGTGCACTGGGCCTCTAGTCATTTTATATAAAGGATATACTTGACACATTGTAGTTTTCTGCTCTGATCCTCCATGGGGATCCACAGAACACATATTACTTCTAGAATGAGGATAATTCCTACAGAATGAATACAGGTTCTTTTTCCCACTCATCATTTGATCTTGGGAAGTCCAAAAAACTAAGGTAATAATTAAATTGTCAATATCACCTAGCCACTTTGTTGTCTGGGACTATCAAAAGTAATTCTCCACCTCATCTTTCCCAGGCCTTGGAGTACTACCCAATCCCTCCCTATCCCCACTTCTTTCCATAAAGGCAGATAAGGTGGCACCATACCACAATGGTGAAGAGGCTGAGAAGAAAGCTGGCCAGGAAAATGATGAGCCCATAAAAATAAAGTGTTCTACAGACTGATGTGTTGGCAGAAGGCAGGAGTTCAGCCATGGCTGATGGTGGTGAGTGCATCAGGATACACCTAGGAAGAGAATCAATGGACAAGAGCACTGCTACAGATATAAAACTATAGAGATACCTATTAGTGCAACAAAAGTTCATGAGTATAAAATTTTACTTATCATTTTGCTAACACTTTGTTCCTTCTCATAGACACATTATTTTCTAGTCACCTTGTTATATTCTATGTATGTATTTACAGCCTTGACTGCACATTATTCTCATTATTCATATAGTTCATTTAAATACAACACCTTAGCCAGAATGTATGTAGAAAGTCCTCTTCTATCTCCATTTATAGAACAAAGTATGTGTAGACGACCATGAAAATGATAGATTTGGTCCTTACTTACCTGTTGTTCTGGCTAAAGTTTCGGAAACATTCACTGGCATTGCCCAGACAGAATACAGGTATCATCAATAGTAGAGGTATCAGGCTAGGAGGAAAAAAAAACTTATCACCCTAATATTCAGACTGTTTTATGCCCTCTTCCATTTGCAAAATATTATCCTGTTCTTTTCCCTCCTCTATCATCCCACCACTCTCCACTAATACATACACATTTAAATTCTCTAAGAAAAATCGTTCAAAAACCTTAACTATACTGTCTTTTTCAATACCTGGGGAAGAGAAGTGAGGAATGCATTTTATACTTAGGGATATGAACACTAACAGAGTTTCATAAAGAGTCTCTGGGAGTTGTGTGATCTGATAAAATCCAAGTGAGTCAAAATGAAAGGAAATATTTTACAAGGAGCTCTCTGCTTGCTCAGTCTGTTTCACTTTCCATGGTGACCAGAAATAACTTCATTCTCATATGTCCTTTCCTGGGAGCTTTTCTAAAATAGACCTTTAAATAACCAATTATTATCCAGAGGAAAAGATCCAAGAGTAAAAGTTACAAAATCTAAAACCAACTCTGTAATGACCACTTCAATGAAATCCAGACCCCTTCTGGGCTTAATAATTTTAAGAATCTCACCCAATGTTATAAAGGTAGATGAGATCTTGAAAGCCCCTATTATAAGTCTTTAAGAGATGTAGAAAGGAATTAAAAGTCCAAAGACTTAAAGGAAAATACCTGACAGGCACTTAGACATGATGGCAGAATTGAGGCTAAAACCCAAATCTGTAACTTCAAACTGTTTGCCTATTTGAGAAAATGGAACCAAAGATCACATATTTGTTGCTTCCTACTCAGTAAGGCTCCAAGAGGACATAGGCATGACAGACTCAATAGATATAAAGGACATTGTTCTCCTATTTTCTCCCACCTAGACCCCAGAATAATGAGAGTCCACACCTTGCTAGGAGAGAAAGCAAAATATCTTACCTTGACGAAATGATGGCTATCTGACCAACTTGACAAGTATTATCTATAACCTATGAAAAGGATAAATGTGAGCAATGTCTTAGGATATTGCCAATCATGTTATAATAAATACCAGGTTATTATGTGTCACTTGACAGAATAAAAATTCCCAAGAGTCAGCTTGCTTCGTTAAGAAATATTTGCTATAAAATTCAGTGAAATAGTTCCTTAGCATAGGAGATAAGAGAATTTTATCTGTGTTACTATATTCTAAATAGTACAATAGTCACAAAAAGAACCTGTAGGAAGTAGCTTAATATAAGATTTGACTACCAGAACAAATTCTCTTTAAAAAAAGGCAAATGTTAAATTACACAATGTTCCATCTTCTAATAACAGTTCAATCCTCTTCTTTTATATCCAGGGAGGTGTGGGATTTTCACTCCTTATGAATGGAGTGAAAGTCTATGTATAAGATGACCAGCAGCCGAACCGGTTTGGCTCAGTGGATAGAGCGTCGGCCTGCGGACGCAAGGGTCCCGGGTTCGATTCCGGTCAAGGGCATGTACCTTGGTTGTGGGCACATCCCCGGTGGGGGGTGTGCAGGAGGCAGCTGATCGATCTCTCTCATCGATGTTTCTTACTCTCTGTCCCTCTCCCTTCTTCTCTGTAAAAAATCAATAAAATATATTAAAAAAAAAAAAAAAAAGATGACCAGCAGAACCTAGCTGATTTGGCTCAGTGGATAGAGCGTTGGCCTGTGGGCTGAAGAGTCCCGATTTTGACTCCAGTCAAGGGGATATACCTCGGTTGCAGGCTCCTCTCCAGCCCGGGCCCTGGTTGGGGCTAGTGCAGGAGGCAACCAATTGATGTGTTTCTCTCACATCAATATTTCTCTGTCTTTCCCTCTCTCTTCCATTCTCTCTAAAAATCAATGGAAAAATAGCCTCGGGTGAGGATTTAAAAAAATTAATAAAGATAATAAAAAATAAATTTAAGAGAGATGACCAGCAGAAAGTATAACAGGCCAGGGTTAGTATAATAAGGGCAAGGTCAAATAAACCCTTTGGATTATAAGCCCTTCAAGACTTGTTAGATTCTAGAAGAAAGAACATTTCAAAAATCTCCAGTTGTGTTAGACACTGTAAAACAAACTACAGAAGAATGGTCCCTACCCAGTAGGAATTTATGGCGAAAGATATTGAACATAACACCTTAAAGAGATAACAGAAGAGAAAACAAGTGTTGTTGTTTTTTTCTATTTTACGGTAGAGACCATATGGGATGGCATTGTTAGGGATCAATAAGCATTAAGTGAGCAATTAATTAATAACCAGAGATGACTAACTGACTTGCCTTAAGAACTTTGAATCAAGAATAGCAAATTATTTCAAGTTGGATAGAAATTGCTGACTTTAGGTAAAATGGGAAATAAGTAAAATTAGTCTTTGGTGACTTCTCCCACTCATGTCCCTTTTTCTCTTTTTATTATATCCTCTATCCAGCAGGTGGCTAGCCTGTGTTTAATTCTTATTCTTAACTGGATATCAATGAATCTCTGATAAAAAAGTTTATTAGTAAAAGTTTAGGACATAAGTCTTGCTAGGGTATTTAAAAGAGAACTCAAACATGAAAAAAAAAAACCTGTCAAGGCTTTAGGAATAAAGCTAAAATGACAGAATAATAGACAGTGGAGTTAAATTTTTTGGCTAAAGTTTATCTTCTTGGAATATTAGTGTTATAGCATGTGTTACATAAAGAAAAGCACAATATGTGCATTTGTATGACTATAAAGCAATAGAATACCATATATGACAGTTAATCTTCGTCTCTCTCTCTCCCTTTTCTTCAAAAATTAGTTTGTTCTGCCCGGCTGGTGTAGCTCAGTGGTTGAGCCTTGACCCACGCACCAAGAGGTCACCAGTTTGATTCCCAGTCAGGTCACATGCTTGGGTTGTGGGCACAATCCTCAGTAAGGGGTGTGCAGCAGGCAGGCAATCAATGATTCTCTCTCATCAATGATGTTTCTATCTCCTTCTCCCTCTCCTCTCCTCTCCTCTCTGAAATCGATAAAAATATTTTGAAAAATATGTATAACTAGAGGCCCAATGCACGAAGATTGTGCAAGAATGGGCCTTCCTTTCCCTGGCTGCCGGCACCACCTTCACTCTGGCCGGAGCTGCCTTTCTGCCTTAGTCCAGGTCTGGAGCCACCTTTCCACCTTCCCACACTGCCCAGAGGCCCAGAGCTGCCTTTCTGCTTCGTTCCTCCACCTTCCCACACTGCCCAGAGGCCCAGAGCGGCTGGGGTGGTGTGGAACGCCAGCATTGTCGCCATTGGTACGACACAGCCGCTAGGTGCCTGCGTATGCAAATTAACCCGCCATCCTTGTTGGGTTAATTTGCATACTCACTTCTGATGGGCTGGTGGGCATCGTAGAAGTACGGTTAATTTGCTTCTTTTTCTTTTATTAGTGTTTTATAGTTTATAAAACATATAAAGACATTTAAATAAATGAAAATTGCTCATATCATAAAAATGTATTCTGCCAAGATCACTTAGTGATATACTAAAAGAGTCAGAAATAAGAAAGAAAATATACTATACAATGTAATACTATTCACCAATAAAAAGTAATGAATTACTTATATAATACTATAATGGATAAACTTCAAAAGCATTATGCTAAATTAAATAAAACAGACAAAAGAAATTATATACTGTATGATTCCATCTATATAAAATGTCCAGAAAAGGACAATCTATAGACAGAAAGTAGATTAGTGCTTGTCTAGTGCAGAAGGTGGGAAGGGGATTAACAGTAAATGGGCATGGAAGATTTTATTGGGGTGAAGAAAATATTCTGAAACTGTCATATGATGATGACTATACAACTTGATAAGTTTACTTTAAAAACCATTGAATTGTATATTTAAAATAGGTGAATTATATGATATGTAAAATACATACATGCACACAAAGAGTCCAGATGTACTGACTTAGTGAATAATTATAATGCTAGACAATGCCAAAACTCTGTGAACCAAAGGGGGAAAGACAACTAACTTCTCCCTGGGTTAATCTTATTTTCTGATTACCATACATTAATTCCCCTGCTCTTCTGCAAACCAATATTTTTTATCTACTCATACTGAAAAAATACAGCAGAGCAGAACACTCGCCCTTTCCATACCTATAGTTCAAATCCCAGGTTTCCAAGCTGAACACTTTCCCTGACTCTTCGCCAAGATCTTTAGCAACAATGATGTACTGGCATAGAGCCAGGATTATTTCTTTTACTGAATAGAACTAGGCAGGAATGGCAGTACTGTGCATAATGTTTCCCATAATGAGTCTTTCTTTTTTTTTTTTGTGGTATGAGATATGACGAAATCATGTTAACAGGATAGAAACTCAGTGAGAACATGTTTTCCTTTTATTAATCTCAATTAATTCACCTAGTCTGTGCTGAGTGTTTACAATATTGATCAAGGATACATGGGTTTGTTTTAGCATACTGTTCTTAACTATTAACTTTGAATAAAACTTACCAAGGAAAATGTGCTCTGTCCACTCTGGGTGTGTTTCATCCTTAGTTCTTTGTACAGATACCAGACGTAATTGACGGTGTAGAGAAATGAAGAAATGTAGAATATCTAGGTAAAAAAGCAGAACAACCCATCATAACTGCCCCACTCTGATTTCCTTTGATTTATTCCATTATTTTCTATTATAGGAGTTCTACCTACTATTCTATTAGTAACTTACTATCTAGTATCTATACCATGTAAAATATGGGAATTCTATCCAGCCTACCTAAAACATGCCTCAGCTTTTTTTTTAAATATATATTTTTTAATTTTTTAATCCTCACCAGAGGATGTTTTTCCATTGATTTTTAAAAAGAGCAGAAGAGAGAGGGAAAGACAGAGAGAAATATTAATGTGAGAGAAACACATCGATTGGTTGCCTTCTGCATGCATCCTGATCAGGGCCCCAGCCTGAGGAGGAACCTGCAACCGAGGTACGTACCCCTGACCGGAATCTAACCTAGCACCCTTCGATCCACAGGCCAATGCTCTATCCACTGAGCAAAACTGACTAGGACTATATTTTTATTGATATCAGAGAGGAAGGGAGAAGGAGAGAAACATCAGTAAGAGAGAATCATTGATTGGCTGCCTTCTGTATGTCCCCTCCTCGGGATTGAGCCAGCAACCCAGGCATGTGCTCTGACCGGGAATCAAACTGTGACCTCCTCGTTCATAGGTCAATGCTCAACCATGAGCCACACTGGCAGGGGCCAGCTTCCTTTTTAAAAAAGAAGTTTTTATTGATTTTAGAGAGAGAAGAATGGAGAGGGAAAGAGAGAGAGACCTGCCAGAAACATTGACTGCCTGCCTCCTGCACACTCCCTACTGGGGATCAAGCCGGAAACCCGGGCACGTGCCCTGACCAGGAATTTGAATGGTGACCTCTCCATGCATGGATTGACGCTCAACAAACTAAGCCAACTAAGCTCAACCACACTAACCAGGGCCTTATTTTATCCTTTGCAGAGGAACCACAGTATTATCCAATTCCTCTCACCTAACTGGTCCACTTTTATGCACAAAATAGGTCCAGAATCATGAGTGTATGAAACAGAATGACAGAATTCAGAGGGGAGGGAAGTAAAAGGGATGATGATAAGAGATTAACCAAAGAACATATATGCATAGACCATGGACACAAACAATAGTGTAGAGAAAGCCTGGGTGGGGAAGGACAGGGGGGTGGGGGATGGGGGACATCTTTAATACTGTCAACAATAAAAAAAAAATCATAGAATCTTTTTCTATTTTATTTTTTTATTGAAAATTCCATAAGGTTTTCAATTTATATTTTTTATTAAGTTTACTGGGGTGACATTGGTTAATAAGATTATATAGGTTTGAAGTGTACACCTCTATGATACATGAACTGTATATTGCATTGTGTGCCCACCACCCAAAGTCATATCATCTTCCATCACTATATATATGACAGCCTTTACCATTTACTACCCCCACCCCACCCCTTTCCCTCTGGTAATCACCATACTGTTGTCTGTGTCTAGGGGGGCTGGATGAAAAGGGTGAAGAAATTTAGCAAGAAAAACTCATAAATGCAGACATTAGGTGATTACCAGAAGAAATTGGGGGTGGGGGAGGTAAAGGTGGGGAAAAGTGATGGACAGAGACTTGACTTGGGATGGTGAACACACACTATAATATTCTGATGTATTATAGAATTTTATACCTGAAACCTATAAAATTTTACTAACCAATGGCACCCCAATAAATTCCATTTTAAAAGAGGAAAAAACTAACAGGAAAGTTGTTTTGAAAAATAACAGAGACATCCTAGCCGGTTTGGCTCTGTGGATAGAGTGTCGGCCTGTGGACTGAAAAAAGGTCCCAGGTTTGATTCCGGTCAAGGGCACATGCCTGAGTTGCGGGCTCAATCCCCAGTAGGGAGCATGCAGGAGGCAGCCAGTCAATAATTCTCTCTCATCATTGATGTTTCCATCTCTCTCTCCCTCTCCCTTCCTCTCTGAAATCAATAAAAATGTATTTAAAAAAAAATAATAATAATAAAATAAAAAATAAATAAATAACAGAGAAGTCAGTGCCCTGAGCAGTCCTGGATCTGTCTCCTGCTTCAACAGTGTTTGGATGGAACAGAGCCAGGAACACCTTCGACCACCCTCCTGTGTCTTATCCAGTTACCACCTTTAGAATCACCTCCGGGACCAACCAACACACCAGTTCTACCTTAACTCCTTGTTGCCGAATAACCATGAGCTCTCAAATTTGTCAGAATTATTCCACTGAGGTGGAGGCTGCAGTCAATCACCTGACCTGCATCTGTGAGGCCTCCTATAACTACCTCTCTCTGGGCTACTATTTCGACAGTAATGATGTGGCTCTCGAGGGCATGGGCCACTTCTTCCGCAAGTTGGTGGAGAAGAAACGTGAGGGCACTGAGCATCTCTTTAAGTTGCAAAACAAGCGTGGTGGCCGCATTCTCTTTCAGGACATGCTGAAACCTTCCCAAGATGAATGGAGCAAAACTCAGGACATCATGGAAACTGCCCTGCCCTTGGAGAAGAACCTGAACCAGGCCCTTTTGGAGCTGCATGCCCTGGGTTCTACCCATGCAGACCCTCATCTCTGTGACTTTCTGGTGAACCACTTCCTGGATGAGGTGAAACCGATCAAGAAGATGGGCAACCACCTGACTAACATCCACAGGCTAACTGGCCCTCAGGCTGGGTTGGGTGAATATCTCTTCAAAAGGCTCACCCTCAAGCAGGACTATGAGACTTTGGAGACCAGAGGCCTTTCAGAGGCCCCTCTGCATTCCCTTGGTACTTGAGCCTCTTCCCAAAACTACTAGTCATTCTTTTAATCACCCTGAAGCCCTCTCCCATGCATTGGACCAAATGAAACAATAAAGCTTTTTGCAGAAAAATAAATAAATAAATACATACATACATAAATAAATAAATAATAACAGAAGACGCCTTAGCTGGTTTGACTCAGTGGATAGAGCGTCGGCCTGTGGGCTGAAAGGTCTTGGCTTCTATTCCAGTCAAGGACACATGCCCAAGTTGCAGGCTCGAACCCCAGTAGGGGGCATGCAAAAGGCAGCCGATCGGTGGTTCTCTCTAAACATTGATGTTTCTATCTCTCTCTCCCTCTCCCTTCCTCGCTGAAATCAATAAAAACATATTTTAAAAATAATAACAACAGAGAAGACAATGGATGTCAGTAAGTCACATAGATAAGGGGCATAGTCTCAGTGTTAGAAAGTAGTTTAGTGGCAAGAATTTGGCTGAACAACACAATAGCTCAGGTACAAGATCCTGAACAAGCTCACTACATAAAATGCCAGGTCTCCATATTTTCAGTGAGTAACCAAAATATCATGTATTATCCAGACCTGCATTGTCCAATACAGTAGGTAACTAGACACATGACTATTCAAATTTAAACTAATAAATATTAGCCCTAACTGGTTTGGCTTAGTGGATAGAGCGTCAGCCTGCAGACTGAAAAGTCCCGGGTTCGATTCTTGTCAAGGGCATGTACCCTGGTTGCGGGCACATCCCCAGTAGGGGGTGTGCAGGAGGCAGCTGGTCTATGTTTCTCTCTCATTGATGTTTCTAACTCTCTATCCCTCTCCCTTCCTCTCTGTAAAAAATCAATAAAATATATTTACAAACTAATAAATATTAAATACAATTTAAAATACAGTTCCTCAGTCACACCAGCCCTATTTTAAGTACTCAATACCTAAGTGTGATTACTGGTTAACACTTTGGATAGCACAGACAGAGAATATTTCCATCCCCCCTGATCTTGAGACATGACTTTACCTCCCTCCTTACAATGCCTGACTTTAGACCATTTTATTCCTCAAGTTTATCAGGAAAAAATGAAAGAAAGAAATCTCAGATCAATACATTTGACTCCTAAAAGATATAATAAGGAGAGACTGAAATTTTTGGTTAGGTGAAATTTTGGTTTGGTTACCCATTCAATGATACTTTTCTGAATCTCCCCAGTTAGAACCAATCACTTGGGTGATGGGTAGGGGCTGGGAGGATGGGGGGGAAGGGAGGAGGGGAACAGGAAATATCTATAATACTATCCTATCTAATAAAGAGGTAATATGCAAACTGACCATCACTCCAACACACAAGCTGGCCGCATCCATGTGGACACAAGATGGCCAGCAGGGGAGGGCAGTTGTGGGCAATCAGGCCAGCAGGGGAGGGCAGTTGGGAGGGACAAGGCTGGCAGGGGGAGGGCAGTTAGGGGTGACCAGGCCGGCAGGGGAGGGCAGTTAGGGGCAATCGGGTTGGCAGGGGAGCAGTTAGGCGTCAATCAGGCTGGCAGGGGAGTGGTTAAGGGGTGATCAGGCTGGCAGGCAGAAGCAGTTAGGGGCAATCAGGCAGGCAGGCAGGTGAGTGGTTGGGAGCCAGCAGTCCTGGATTGTGAGAGGGATGTTTGACTGCCCATTTAGGCCCAATCCTGATCGGGCCTAAACGGGTAGTCGGATTTCACTCAAGGGATCCCAGATTGAAGAGGGTGCAGGCTCGGCTGAGGGACACACACACCCTCATGCATGAATTTCATGCACCGGGCCTCTAGTCAACAATAAAAAATAAATTTAAAAAATAAATTAACTGATTAATTAAAATAATTTTTTTAAAAAGAACCAATCACTTCTTTCACATTCCTAGTTTATACTTTTATTAAAGAACTAGAGAGGCGGTGCACGGGATTCGCGCACTGGTGGGGGGCGTTGCCTGCGGGGATCAGCCCACTGTGGCAGTGCCGCTCATCCCAGTCAATGGAGTGGCGCTCTCACTGTGGGAGCACACTGACCACCAGGAGGCAGCTCCTACATTCAGCGTCTGCCCCCTGGTAGTCATAGTGACTGGTCGAGTGGTCGTTCTGGTCATTCTACCATTTGGTCACTGGGCTTTTATTATATAGGATATAATTTGCTTTGTACTGTAATGATTTAGATAAAGAACATATGTCTAGTCTCCCATTAAATTTTAATTTCTGAGGTGAAGAATCATATTTGTTTCTATATTTATACCACCATAACATAACCAACCTCACTTTCTAGCAACTCAGCACAGAACTTTATGCACAGCCGGCACTCACAGCTCGAGGTGAATTATCACTAGAATTGTAAACTCCTGAGAATAAGAAATTTATCTATCTTGTTCATCCATGTGTACTCCAGAATGTAGTATAATGACTAGAACATTGTAAACAATAAACAGTTATCTAATAACTTTGAGGTCCTTTATCTGAGGCCACAGGCAGATGTAAGTTTAGTTTCTTAAGAAAAAATCTGTAGCAAAAGGATTTCTAAAATGTTTCCATCATTACTAAAGTGAACATTTAAAATAAGTGATGGTTTATAGCAGGAAGTAAATTACATGTCTCTCCAATCATGACAGTAAAATTTGATATGTGATTTGATTGCCTTGTCTTTCTCTCTCCTCTTGAGATTTAAAGAGAATGGCCATTCTATGATGAGGAAACAGAAGTCTGAGGAAGCAATAGCTGGGTGGAGGTGGTCAAAAAGGGGAGAAAATGGGAGACACCTGTAATAGAAATTTTTTAAAAGGCAATTTCATTTAAGCCCAGTAGGGGGAACCAGGATGTCATTATATCAGATAGATTCCCTCCACCCTCATACCAGACACAGAAAATTCTAAACTTGGCCTTTCTTACAGTTTAGAAAAAACTCTACAGTGGGGCCTTGACTTACGAGTTTAATTCGTTCCGTGACGGAGCTTGCAACTCAAATTACTCGTATGTCAAATCAAAAAGTGAACGAGTGAGACACATGATGCTGGGCTAATATTGTGGCATTCACTGTGACATTCGCTGCGCCAACTAGCAGTGGGGTATCTGAAGCTGGCTCATAACCCGAATTTTAGCTCGCAACTCAAAGCAAAAAATCGGCCGAGAGGTGGCTCATATCTCGAAAAACTCGTTAGTCGGGACACTCATAAGTCACGGCCCCACTGTATTTAGAAAAAAAACTATTCAAGCCTGAGAGATATTGTTGTTAATAACCTTGAACATTGTGATTAATGTTAACATTCTTCAATTTATAGTTGACTATAAATTTATCACCTTACTTTGTATTCTTTTGAGAAACTCAACTCTATCATCTTTACTCTCTTAAAATACCAGCGAAGCAAATAGTTACTGAATTACTAACATGTGTAAAGAAGAGTCTATAATAGGAAAGACAAACAAGAACCTTCTATTCAAGCTTATATTGGTATAAATTTTATAACTTAAAAGTATTTTTACATAAGACTGACATTTCATCCTATTTTTGTCATAAGAAACCCAAGCTGATAAGTGAATTTGTTTGTTTTAATATATTTTATTGATTTTTTACAGAGGAGGGAGAAGGATAGAGAGTTAGAAACATCGATGAGAAACATCGATCAGCCACCTCCTGCACACCCCCCCACCGGGGATGTGCACGCAACCAAGGTACATGCCCTTGACCGGAATCAAACCTGGGACCCTTCAGTCTGCAGGTCGACGCTCTATCCACTGAGCCAAACCAGTTAGGGCAGTGAATTTGTTTTTAAAGTGACTTATTTAGCCCTGGCTGGTTTGGCTCAGTAATAGAGCGTTGGCCTGCAGACTGAAGAGTCCCAGGTTCGATTCCGGTCAAGGGCATGTACCTTGGTTGCGTGCACATCCCCAGTTGGGGGGGTGTAGGAGGCAGCTGATAGATGTTTCTCTCTCATTGATGTTTCTAACTCTCTATCCCTCTCCCTTCCTCTCTGTAAAAAAATCAATAAACTATATTAAAAAATAAAATAAAATAAAGTGACTTATTTAAGGTCTGTTATATGGCAGAAACTATTTTGCTTCTACTATTAAAGTAATGAAAAAGTAATGTAAGAAGTTATTCACCCAAAATCTCACCAGCCTAAAGCAGATCCAACAAGGTAACTCCAGAGTCCTGATTTTCAATCAGGTCTTTTTTTTAATAAATTGAATCCTGAGACTAAATGAAGCCTCAATGACTTTGGTTCACTCTTTTACAAGATGAAGATACTTAAAACTATATCAAACATGTGGTTTTTCTACTTCTTTGTAAAATTGTCTTCAAAGATGGCAGCTCAAACTTATCATAGAAAATAGAGATAGAGTACAATCAAGTATAAAAATACTTGAGGATGAAATTTTTAAAACAAATTTCTGATTCTATGCCATCAGAAGTGACAGAAAATAATATAAGAGAGTTTCACTCTAGACTTTAAATGTCCCAAAACACTTAGGATGACAGATAAAGCTATTTCTATTACATGGGTCAAGGGTACAAGGGATTTTTTTCTTGCTGTTAAGAGTACTTACTCCTGCCCAGCCAGCATGGCTCAGTGGTTGAGCACTACCTATGAATCAGGAAGTCACTGTTCAAATTCTGGCCAGAGCACATACTGTTCAGGTTGCCGGCTCAATCCAATGGGGGACATGCAGAAGGCAGCCAATCAATGACTCGCTCTCATCATTGATGTTTCTATAGCTCTCTCCCTCTCACTTCCTCTCTGAAATCAATAAAAATATATATTTTTAAAAGGAGTACTTACCCCTAACAAAGAGGATTGGTCATGATACAAATCTGTTCTGTCACAGATCAAACACAGTGCCACTGCAATAATCAGACGTTTGTTAGTTTGTGGCTAAAAGAGTTGTAAAAGCTAGCCACAGGGGGCTAATATCAGAAATCTACTCAGACAGAAGGGCCTAGTGCCTCTAAATATGGGATTAAATCCAGGAAAATCAGCTATCAATTAGCAAAAGTTTATTTGAATT